ACTTTGTGATTAACTAACCATAATTTAGAAGTTATGTTCTATGGTGGCTAGAAAAGGAATTACATTTCCTTGTTTTTTCACCAGTCACAAATTTATAGACACTATTTATAATGTATAGTTATAGTTATATCAGTGTTAACTCATAATCTGTAGACTTACGAAAGATAAACTCCAGGTTTCCTTTGCCTGTTGCAAGTCCAGAGCTTCTGATCTAGAGGGTCAAATTCAATCTGACTGCCCTTATTATACTGTATATAATTTATGGTGCAGCTATTACTAAAGATCAATACCACTTAAACTGCTCTATTGATATTGAAACCTGCACTGATTTATGACCCCATAGGTCTTTGGTTAAAAACACACACATTCACATGCACACACAAACACGCACACACATACCAATTGTAGATTTTATATAATGCAGTGTCTTATCAATGTCCCGATGTTGTCCTTGTTCTCTGTTCATTTCCTGAGAGTGCTTTTTGAAACACACACACACACACAGGCACTAGACACACACACATTTGACTAACTGAAGAAAAAAAATCTGGTTTTTCATTAGATTGGATTGCTGTGTGTATATACTGCATGTGTTTGTCTCCACTAGTCCAGAAGGCTATGTGGTCAGTAAGCCTGTGCAGTTTCTCTCTTTCTCTCTCCCTCTCAAACACACACACACACACACACACACACACACTTTTGCTGTATTAGAAAAGCCACTACATTCATTTGCAGTTCCTACACTTTTCAGCATTTAATCATGAATTATGATTTCTTGCATATAAACTCACTCAGATGTGCATACCTTCAAACCTTCACTATACAGAGCATACTGCAGGAGTGTGTATGTGTGAGTACTTCTGAGTGCCAAAACCCAATGCACTCAAACTTAGGGACTGTCACCATTGCCAAGGACATGACACCAGCTCTGCAGAAAACATCAAGCAGATAGATAAAGAGATGGACGTAGCAGAACTAGATGGAAATACTTTAAACTCAATATGTAGTGTGATGTAGTAGTTCTTACGTGGGATGGGAGGTACGGGTGATCATTATTTTTAGAGAATAACAGCTAGAAATCCTGCATGGTCATTTACTTTTTTAAGGAAAGGAAAGGTCATTATTCTTTTAACATAGCGCTATAAAACTAGAGCCACCAACTTTTAATATGCAATCACAGTAACATTCAGTAAGTTCCACTGTACAGAGATTAACAAAACATAATCTAATGACAGCAATGACAGCTTAACTTAATTATTTACCTTTAGTCATTCAGAGAGAATGGGAATAATACATGCGATGCTGAATTTTATTCAAAAAGCTCAGTTGCATTAGCGGCAACCACATTGCTGTTTTAAAAGTTTTAAAACTACACATTTGCTTTTGCTGTTTAGGTGTGTATCCAACACAGTTGTGATTGTTGGTGAGCTGTGCAACTTACAAAGATTCATAACAGAGATGCGCATATATATATGTCTTCATATATATCTTTGCATAAATGTAACTATCAGATTGCCATAATATTTTTACACAAAGTTCCCAGAGTTCTTATTTAAACTTGTTATCAATAATTACCTTTGCCGATGATTAATAAGTCGGTAAGTGATTCATCAAATTAACAGAAATGAGTGCATGTCTAAAAGGAACAAGCATCAAATAGACACCAGAAAATAGCAGAGACAAAAACATTAGTACTCACAAAATTCTGCAGGTCAGTTTCATTGGCTAACAGTTAAGGTCATTTTAAAATCCGAACGCCAATTTTGATCTTTTAAATCAGCAACCAGCCAGCTGAGTCCAAGTCCGTCTGGAGCTCTGCATCAGTGCGGTATCAAGGTTCCCTTCTCAGAAATTTGATCACATAAAATGTTGCTTGAAATGTCAAACCTCGGAGGAATTTTATTGATTTGTTAATTTATCTAGTTACTGGTCACCAATAAATGCAGCAGCACGCAGTAAATAGACATTTCCACCCACAGTCTGTGTCTAAATTGTATTCCCTATTGAAAACTCAGTGGTATAATAGGTGTACAATGTATGTGGCCATTAATGGCCATTAATGTGTATACTACAGTGAGCTTTCTTAACTAGAATTATTTACTTATCTTTCAATACATGTCCATGACTGCTAACAATGACCTACTCTAGAGTTAGAGTGAATGTATTTTCATTATATAATTCAAATGTATAATGAATTGAATTAGCATATATAAATAGAGAACCGCATTAAAAACAGCCAAAATACTGAGTGAAAGTTGAGTGATAAATGACTAGCAAACATTAACAGAGGTGGCAAAAAGTACAAACATTCTTCACTTAGGTAGAAGTACGGACACTTACACATACACATTGTTTAAAAAAATGATTTGGCAAAAGTAAAGTACTGATTCAACTTCTTTATTCAAAGTGGAAAAAGTTCCGAAATTCACTCAAAGTATAAAAGTAAAATATAGTTCTTTGGAGGACATCAGCTACCAGCTATTTTGTTCAAACGAAACTGAACTTCATGTCACAAAAAAAATAATACAAACTTTACTTCAACCCAAATTCTAATTCTAAACTATTTAGTCAGCTTGAACAGGTGTTATCTAGAACACACAGAGATTAAAAGCAAATGGAGTTCATCTCTATTTTCTGTTTCCTACAGTGTGAATGACTTTGCCTCTGCACCAAAACAGAAAAATGAGTAAAATCGAGTGTAGTGTTGTAAGGTGGTGAAAAGAATTCATATGGACAATATTTTCGATATGTTCTATTCTGAGCTGCAGTGGATTTTTTTAATGCATCAGCTGCCATGTGCTGGAGCTGCTGCTCCAATATTCACTGCGCTTTCTGGATTTACCAAACAGAATTCAACATAAGCCGATGTTACATGAGCAAGTGTAGCTGATTTCTGACACCTAAACATTATAAGGCTGGAATTCAGTGAATGAATCTAATCAGCATCCCAATCTTTACCTTAAATGAATTTTGAGCTCTCCTACCATTGATGTAACCTAACATTGACCATGAACATCTCATCTTCTCTTCACCAGTCCAACATAGCTGATATTTGTTGAGCTGTTAGAAATGTTGCATTTGAAATTACCTGCTGCTTCAAAAAAAAAGTGATTTCCTTCACGGGGGAAAATAATTATTTGATCTCTTTCTCAATTTGTAAGTTTGCCCACCATCAAAGAAATAAACAGTCTTTCATTTTCATGATAGTTAATTTTGATGGCGAACCAAAAATCAAGGGGAAAAAATATATATGTAGAAAATCTGTGGAGGGAGCCAAAGCTTTGAGTTGCCAATCAGCAGCCAAGAAATCTAAAGGATTTAAAGTTTATTTAAAGAGGAGTGAGCCAAAATTCCTCATTTGATGTTCAAATCTGGTGACCAACTTCAAGAAATGCCTTACTGCTGTGCTTGCCAACAAGGGTTTCTCCACAAAGTACGGAGTTATGTTTTGCTTGAGAATCAAAAACTCACTTCACTCAGTGACATCCATGACAGGATATAGAATTTATGTAATGTGCTTTTTGTAGATTTTTTGGTTAATATTCTGTCTTGCTCCATTAAAATGAAACTACCATGAAAAGAGACTGCATGCTTGGTTCTCTTCTGAATTGCTCACTCGATAATATCATGAACACATCTTTTAAACTTGTGCCAAAAATGGACTGTTCCAGACTTTAACCCCTGAATATAGTGACTACAGTTTTAATTGGTTTGATACTGGGAATTCCACAGTGATGTGAAATAACAACACAGATCAAATGCATTAAACCTAAAGTAATGAGCCTGTTCTGAAAATGTAACAAGCAACAGAAAGGAAATATATCTGTGTTAAAATATGAGGAGTAAAAAGTAAACAATTGTCAGAAAAACAAATATTCCAGTAAAGTACAAATACCTGAAAAGTCTACTCAAGTAAAGTAACAAAGTAGTTGTACTTCATTAATTCTTACCTCTGGTCAAACGTAACTAGAAGCAATGTCTTATTATTGTTTTTTTCCCCATTATGTTGCTCTCATTGTGAAGTGCAAAAAGATTCATCCCACAAAACACCGAATTTGACCTACATGGACATGCAAATGCCTAGGAAATTGGACAAAAATGTCAACGGTTAGAATAAAAGGATAGCGCGAACTATATAAGCGTCCTTCACAAATATAGTCGGGAAAGCAATGTCTACACAGCCACATAGCCTAAATCTGTGGGCACAAGTACACACAGGTATTTATTTCTTCCCCTTGACATTAGGAATCGCCAGCTTCACTTTTAAGCCAGTAAAAACCTGTATTACACCGAGGGAAATGAAAAGTAAGATTAATAACTCAAGAAAGGGGATAGAAATGATAAGTCTGGTGGCAGTCTTACTTCTCTATCTGTTTCTATGAATGTTTGCTAATTCATTTACACGTCGGGCGCATTCGTCCCGTCGATCGAATGTCCCAACACCGCACAACAGTTCACTGCAACAAATCTTTGTGCAAGCAAAGCTTAGTGAAATTTACCTTACACGCTGAATGCTGACACACGCTCGCCCTCACACTCCTCTTTTAACCAACATGCACGAGTGTGGTTTTATACTTAACAGAAACAGAGAGAGAGAGAGGGAAAGCATATCTTCGATAGTGCTGCAACTACATCCGTTTACTCGACCCGAATGTTAAACCCCATTTGATGATTGTACCTCAAGACTTTCAGATACCAGTTAACCTCCCAGCATCGAAAAGTCACTTGGTCCCCCCAGAAAGAACAAACAACCTGCTGGCCGCCCATCCAACTAACCAACAGTTAACAAGCATCGTCTCATGATATCAGCTTTACCCTTCAGCACCAGTCAGTCATTTGCGGATTAATCCAACCAGCCAATAACAGCCATAAGACAATTCACTCATCATTCCAAGTCACCCAATACGCCACCAGTGTCTCCACTCATCCACCCATACAGAAGGGTATTGCAACTCTCTCTGCAGGAATAAGTGCGCGTCTCTATGCTGCGACTGTCTTACCTTGAGCGCTTCTATATCCAAAGACGTCGAGCGGTCCATGACAGAAAGTGAAGTAGCTTACTGCTAATCAGTCACGAAAATACAAGTCCCACAGGCGGAGAAGATAAGAGGGGAAGAGATTAAAAACGGAAACAAAAAAAAGGAAGAAAAAAAGTTGGGGTGCTCTCGAGAGTCCCAAACTCTGCTGCGATATCCCCTTGATTATTATTAGGATTTGGCTATTAATATTCCAGCACGGCACGACGAATTTTCTCAGTTTCAAGCCTCCCTCTGGGTCGCTTGGTAAAATCAGGACTCCATAGCATGGAAGTACCCCCCGCCTCCAGTCCCCGGTTTGTCCGTGCAGAGAATTGATGGGTGAATTTGAAAATAGATAGAAAAAGAAAAGAATTCGCCGTGCGTAATGCGGCTTTTGCGCACTTGGTGATCCGTTACGTGTTTTTTGTGTTGTTACATCTGACTAAGAAATATCGCCCCTCTGCTGGAATGAAGCCGGGATTTAGACTCTCCTGATAGTCGGTCAGCGGATAAATGCCGTTATATCCCGTGGAATCCCGGTAAATGTGAGTGTGCTGTGTCTGGTGGGCAAATGGAGAGAAGACGTCCGGCTCAGAGAGATGATATTCTGCCTTGCCTGGGCGACTTCCATGCGGCAAACCGCCAGAGATATCAGCTCTCCCTGAAAGAAAAGGGAAAGAGAGAGGGCGAGAGAGAGAGAAGGGGGGAGAGAGAGTGAGAAAGAGACAGAGAGAGAGAGACCGGATGGAAGAAATGCTGAAGATAGGAGATGGAAAACTAGAAAATAGGCAATGATGTTGACGTATATAATTTCAGTGTCTGACGCCCCAGAGTGTGATGTTAGCTGTTTCTTCTCTCTCTCTCTCTCTCTCTGTGTGTGTGTGTGTGTGTGTGTGTGTGTGTGTGTGTGTGTGTGTGTGTGTGTGTGTGTGTGTGTGTGTGTGTGTGTGTGAGTGAGTGAGAGATGGATGGGGGGGGCATTCTAATCAATTAGATGAATGGACAATGCTGCTTGCCACAGAACTCAAGAAGGGTATTTAAATGCAGAGGCTGTTGGAAGAGGGTTGTTTCAGAAAGTCTGGGGAAGCTTGTGTGTGGTTTTGTGTGTGTCTGCATTTGAAGTGTGTTTGTGAGTACAAATGCAATGCAAAAGCATTAGTCTGATACACTATCAGTCTTTTGATATTGCAGAAGACGAATCATACTGTGATTGCCTGGGAACAGAAAAATACTGTAAAAGAGTCAGTGAATAGATCATATATATAGATTGACAAAATTTCTTTCTTTTTTGTTATGTTATGGTGTAAACTGTCCTAATTCCTTTACTTAAATTGTCGCCGCCTGCTGACTGCCAGGGCTTTTCCTCATCCATAAAACACCTTTTAAAAAATGTTTGCAAGAAGGTGTAATCATAAAACGAGGTGAGGAAAAGAAAGCGAAGAGAAGATGATGAGAGCAAAGCAAACTAATACAGAGCTGACGGGGAAGAAGAGCAATGTAGTTGGGTACAAAAGAATGAGAGGAATATTTAAAAGAGGTGACGATAACGGCTTGTCAAGCACTAAGTTGCACAGACCAGGAAGAAAATGGGAAACATAGGGTGACAAGATGTTGGGAAGAAATGTCAGAAATGCTGACTATTCAGTCTAAAAATCTTCAAGACCTGTGCTTTAAAAGTATTGTTAATATCTATAATTGACTTTAGCATCTATCACTAGCCCTAAGAGATGTGTGGTTATGATACATAATATTGTCACAGAACGCATTCCCAAGTGAAACATAACATATAGCCATACAGTTACAAGAAAGATTTGTTTATCATTTTGCACAGTCATATCATATTTAGCAGTAGTGCATTATTGTTGTACAGAGCTAAGACTGAGAGTTGATGAACACATAATCATAGGAAAACACACAATAACTCCCACTCTCTGTTTCTCTGTCTCACACACACACACACAGCCATAGACTTATTGAATGGCACACTAGAGAACAGAGGAACATTTGTTGAGGGAGTCCGTCAGAGATAACGAACATCATATTAATGAATGCCTCAGTCAATCTCTTTGCTCCTCCCTCTCTGTTTGTCTGACTCTTTTCCTATGTACGCTCATTCGATACATGACTCGCTCTAACTTCCCTGCTGCTATCTTTGCCTCCAGTTCCTTCATATTCCAATCTCTCTGTCTCTCTCGCTCCTCCACTCTCTCGTTTCCCTTTTATTGTTGCATTCTCTCAACCTTTCTGTTGGCTGCACTATTTTCCTTTTTCCTGCAGCTCTGCAATTCAGAGACCACAACCACCTCCATCTAGTTCCACTGTTTCTGTTTTTTTTTCCTGTAAACTTTGTGTTGCAGAGCAATTAATCACTTTTCTTAGTCCTTGTGATTTTTCATATGGGAGAGTCTGACCCTTGTTGCGGGTACTCGCTACTGTGCTAGCTGGAAATGCCATCACCCATCTTTCCCCTCTCCTGTCTGTGCTTCCAAGCTCTCTCTTTGCCTCTCATTTACAGTGGAGGACATAATTATTTGATCCCCTGCTGAATTTGTAAGTTTGCTCACATACAAAGAAATGAACAGTGTCTCATTTTTATGGTAGCTTCATTTTAATGGAGAGAGTAAAAGTTTCAACCAAAAAAATACAGAAAAGAAACCACATTACATGAAAGTTATAAATTCATTTGCATGTCACTTAGTGATATAAGCATTTAATCCTCAAGAAAAACATGACTGAGTACTTGGTGGATAAACCCTTGTTGGCAAACATAATGGTAAGATGTTTCTTGTAGTTGGTCACCAGTTTTGCACACAATTCAGGAGAAATTTTGGTTCCACTCCTCTTTACAAAAACATTCTCAATCCTTTAAATTTCTTGGTGGACACCTGGCAACTCAGACTACCGTTTTTTCCCCCCCAAATTTATATATAGAACCTACGTCAGGAGACTGACTGGCAACTTCACGTTGGCCTCTCCTCTCTTGCCTTTGTGGCCCTATGAATTGGGCTCTCAGTGCAGCAAATGCATTCTGTGCAGATGTCTTCAAATAAAAATGAAAATGGATTAGCACTGTACTGAATGCAATTTTTACTTTACAAAAAATAAGCAAAATTTTTTTATTTATTTATTTAAACTTAGTTACAGCACACAAAATTCCTTAAATGAGATGGAATTCATTTTTTCCATCTTTCACACTAACCTCTCTGATTCTATGTATCCCTCCTTGTTGCTTTGTGTCAGTACACAAACCCCCATCCAAAACACGCAGTGTGTAATTTTACCTGTCACACTGGTCTAAAGAAGCATGACTGAGTTCTGCAGTAGCAGCAACTGACTTAACATGATTCTCTGTGTCTCTCTCCCCCTGCTCTCCCTCTGCTCTCCCTCTGTTCCTCTAGCTTCAGATCAGACAGGAGTTTTATTCTACTTAAATGCAAAGTGCGGCTGTTTGCTTTGCTAGATGCAAAGAGAGCAAAAACTCAGGAGAGGGTCACTTTTTTCCCCTGCCTCGCAGTATAAAGTTTGACAGCAACTTATAGGTCACTGCTGAGTGCTAGATACTTTGAGAAAAACATAGAGGATTGACATGAAAATGCTTCAGTGCCCCAGAGAAGAATTATGGGACAGTGAGAGAGTTCCAGTAATCCTAATTTAACTAAAGCAGTGCTTCCTTATCCTTATCCAAGAAAAATGGATTAGATGAAATTAGGGCTGCCACGATTAGTCGACTAGTCACGATTATGTCGACTATTAAAATCGTCGACGACTAATTTAATAGTCGACGCATCGTTTGAAGCTTTGTAAGATCACAAAGGACGCAGGAATGAGTACCGGTAGTAGGATTTAAGAGTGTAATAACGGACTAAAACAGAAGATGGCAGCACTGCATGTACAAGGATGCCAGCTGCCGTTAAACCCCGAAGAAGAAGAAGCTGTGTCCCAGAATTCATAGCGCAGCTGTCAACAATGGCGGCAGCTAGTTAGTTTTAACTTTACTCTTATTATTCTTTCTGGGGCACAAAATAAACGTTTAACATATTTTCAGGCTTGAATGTAGCTGTGTAAACCTCAAATATCTGCTCAGTTTATCAAGACACCACATATTTTCAAAAGCGCTCCGACGTTTTCGGAGACGTCTGTTACCCACTAGCTCGTTAGCTAGGCGGGGGCAAGGCTAACTAGAGCCGTGAGATCACCGGACTCCCGGCAAATCGTTTTCAAACCCACCGCCGTCTTTCGCTAGTCAGGTTAAACATATATATATAAGTCACTTAGATAACTTAAAAATGTTATTGTTTGGCTTTCTTTAGTATTTTATTTGTTCCTGAGTAAATCGGTTTGGCTGAGATTAAAGTTATATTTTTTACACAGCTGAATAAACGTCAAGCAGACAGCTGATTGTCAGAAGTGTGAGACGCTGGAGAATATACTCCGGTGTCCTGTTATATTTTAGAAAGCAAGGAGTTTATTAAACTTCACCGAAACAATCTGCAAATTTCATTAAAAATTAATAAACTACCATCTTGTCTTTATTTTTAGTTAGCACAGACCTTAAACACTTAAAGCTGTAAGCTAATGATAGTTATGTAAGACCAGATGCAGCTGGTGCAATAAGCTGTACGTCCAATGGATGATGATCTGATTAGTGGACTAATCGCAAAAATAATCGGTGACTAGTCGACTATCAAAATAATCGTTTGTGGCAGCCCTAGATGAAATTGCATTTCCTGGCACAATACAATGCTGTTTTTCTATATCTTGAAATAAAGATTTAAGGAAAACAGAAATATTCCAGAGGTCATCTGATCAAAACTTTTACCAGGTGCAATCTGCAGTACAACTTAAACAATAACCAAGTAAGGTAATTCCCAGGAAATCGTTTTGCAGCCACGGCCAACAAGTCTGGGAATGTTTCCATGATTGAGCGCTATCGAGTGAATGAACTGTGAATTAACAAGTCTGTAACATGTACTGATTGTTTCATGGTGCACTGGCTTTAATAGTCCATTATGCGTTTAATTTAACACAGACACACGCGGGTTTTTGTTTGTGTCTGTGTGTTTTCATATACTCATTATTTATTCATTCACATACACATATATTCATTTTCCCCTTAAAAACAGTGGTTTAGATGAGAAGCATTGGGGGAGGTTTTTTTCTCTCCAGAAAGCCATTACAGTCTGCAACAGCCACTGGAACTGAGCTAGTAACTTCTCTCAGTCCTTAAAAAACACATGCTTCAGTTTTCGATTAAATATATCTTAACTTGACAGACTGATTGATTGATTTATCAATCTTTTGATTGATTTATACGGAATGTTTACTTGCCCTCTGCTTATATTTTACACTAAAAATAAAAAAAAAAAGACTAAAGTTTTTGGTAGGCCAACCGGAAGGCTGGCGACAAAGGTGGGGACCCTCAGGCGACAGGCTGGGACTTCGCAGGGCACATAGTAGGCTCCGGTGACCCCTCAGACCACAGGTTCAGGCGGCACGGGTCCCTCTGGCTAAGTCACTGAGGCATGCGGAATCTGCAGGAAGCTGGAATGGATCAGCTGAGCACCCAGCAGACGCAGGAAGTTGTGTTCAAGGACTACTGGGGTTCCAGAGTTGGCTGAGGCCACAAATTCATTCTCTG